GAGACCCCACTGCCCAGGAGCAGGTCTAACACACCATGGGCCCATAAGGGACCCAGAGACCAGCTGGCATCCACATGCAGGTTCTTACACCCACAGATCTCCGAGTACTGAAAGCTGGGGGACACCTGAAGAGCTTGGTCCTGTGTCAACCACAGGGAAGGCACAAAAAGATGAGTTCCCTGGATCCACTTTCAGACGAATACAGGGCATGGTGTTAGAGGAGGTGCAGACACAAACAAAAGGGTATAGTAAAGTGATGGGATTGAACTTGGATCTCCTCTTGGAATGTCAGGATGATACAAGAAGGATCATCATTTGAAAGTGAGAAGAGCGTGCAGCAAGCTCACTGCCCTGGACTTCGAAAGAGCAGACCTTGGCCTCTTCAGGAACCTGCTTAGTCAGGTTCCATGGGATACAGCACTAGAGGGCAGGGGGGACCAACACTCTTGGCTGATATTCAAGGATCACCTGCTCCAAGCTCAGGAGTGTTGCATCCCAACTAGAAGGAAGCGCAGCAGGAGGGCCAGGAGACCTCCTTGGATGGATAAGGAGCTGCTGAGGAAAATTCAAAGGAAAAAAGAGGCTTATAAAAGGTGGAAGCAAGTACAGGCGGCCTGGGAATAATACAGGGATGCTGTCCGGGAAGCTAGGGACCAGGTGAGGAAAGCTAGGGCCCAGTTAGAATTAAACTGGGCTAGGGATGTTAAGGATAACAGGAAGGGATTCTATAGGTACACTGCAAATAAAAGACAGACTAGGGACAATATGGGCCCTCTGGAAGCTGTCAGGAGAGCTGGCTACCTGGGATTTGGAGAAGGCTGAGGCTCTGAATGACTTCTGGCCACGGTCTTCACTGGCAAATGCTCTGACTGCACCACCCAAGTCTTGGAAGGCAGACGCAGGGACTGTGAGAATGAAGACCTTGGGCCCACTGTAGGAGAGGATCTGGCTCGAGACCATCTTAAGAACCTGAACGTGCACAAGTCCATGGGACCTGATGAAATCCATCCGCGGGTCCTGAAGGAGCTGGCGAATGAAGTTGCTAAGCCGCTGGCCATCATATTTGAAAAATCATGGCAGTCAGGTGAAGTTCCCAACGACTGGAAAAAGGGAAATATAACCCCCATTTTCAAGAAGGGGAAAATGGATGACCCAGGGAATTACAGACCAGTCAGTGACCCACACGACATCCTTGTCTCTAAATTGGAGAGACATCAATTTGATGAATGGACCACTCGGTGGATAAAGAACTGGCTGGATGGCCGCACACAAAGAGTTGTGGTCAATGGCTCAATGTCCGGCTGGAGACCAGTAACGAGTGGTGTCCCTCAGGGATCGGTGTTGGGACCGGTCTTGTTTAACATCTTTGTCGCTGACATGGACAGTGGGATTGAGTGCGCCCTCAGCAAGTTTGCCGATGACACCAAGCTGTGTGGTTCGGTTGATCCGCTGGAGGGAAGGAATGCCATCCAGAGGGACCTTGACACGCTTGTGAGGTGGGCTGATGCCAACCTCGTGAAGTTTAACCATGCCAAGTGCAAGGTCCTACACCTGGGTCGGGGCAATCCCAGGCACAGCTACAGGCTGGGCAGAGGAGAGATTCAGAGCAGCCCTGCAGAGAGGACTTGGGGGTGCTGGTCGATGAGAAAATGAACATGAGCCGGCTTCAGTGTGCGCTTGCAGCCCAGAAAGCAACCGTATCCTGGGCTGCATCAAAAGAAGCATGACTAGGAGGTCGAAGGAGGTGATCCTGCCCCTCTGCTCTGCTCTTGTGAGACCTCACTTGGAGTATTGTGTGCAGTTCGGGTGTCCTCAACATAAAAAGGACATGGAACTGTTGGAACAAGTCCAGAGGAGGCCACGAGAATGATCAGGGGACTGGAGCACCTCCTGTATGAAGATAGACTGAGAATGTTGGGGCTGTTCAGCCTGGAGAAGAGAAGGCTGCGTGGAGACCTCATAGCAGCCTTCCAGTATCTGAAGGGGGCCTATAGGGATGATGGGGAGGAACTCTTCATTAGGGACTGTAGTGACAGGACAAGGGGTAATGGGTTAAAACTTGGATATAAGGAGGAAATTCTTTCCTGTTAGGGTGGTGAGGCACTGGAATGGGTTGCCCAGGGAGGTTGTGAATGCTCCATCCCTGGCAGTGTTCAAGGTTGGACAAGGCCTTGGGTGATATGGTTTAGTGTGAGGTGTCCCTGCCCATGGCAGGGGGGTTGGAACTAGATGATCTTAAGGGCCTTTCCAACCCTAACTATTCTATGATTCTATGATCTCTATGGGAAAATGGGCAAAAGCAGAGATCTCAGTAGGGCCAGAAGAAATAAATTGAGAACATACAGAAAGTTTTAGTTATTTACCAAAGAAACTCTGTTTAGGCCCCAAAGGATTTCAGTTCCACAGGCAGGAGGTATCTAAGGAGACCCTCCCTGGGAAGTGGGAAATGTTGGTTCTGCCTTGGGGCTTCTAACAGAGGTGTGCAACAGAACATCTCCCTCCACAGCCAAGCTCTCGTGAGACCTCACCTGGAGCATTGTGTACAGTTCTGGGAGTACAGAACTTCCCTGGGAGGGAAGTGCTGACCCAGAGGCACCCCTGGAGAAGAACTTGGCTCATTTAGGTAGATCAGTATGCAGCTCATGGCCTTTTCCCTCAAAGCATGAAAGTACATGGAGGTTAAAGGAAGATCCTAATACCAGCTCCAAAATGTCAACCCTGGAAGTTGCACTCTCTGAATTTCAATGAAGATCACAACGAATTTCCTGAGCTGCTCCCACCCTCGCCAGTCACCTTCAGTCTGTCTCAACAAGAGTCTCGTCAGGTCTCTGCCATGCAGCCCTGCCACTCTCCTCCACTGACAAACAGAGCTGGAGATGTTCACAGATCTGATGTGGTCTTCTTCCCCAGCAAAACATAGGCCAGAACTCTTCCACCAGTGCAGCCCACCCAGCTGCTGGGTTGTGCCTAAACTGACAGAACAGGCACTGTCTTTGGTCTTGATGAGAAGTGGCAGAGCAGCGTCATGTCTATACAGTGAAACCTCCTTCTGTGCCCAAGCATCGTGGCCGCATTCAAACTCCCTCCCACAAACCATCTGTACCTCAGTGCTGTGCCCAAGCTTTGTCTGGAAAAGTTGGCAAAGCCAAAGCCAGGCTGGAGGACATGCCAAGAGCCAGCCAGGATGGACAACTGGAGGAAAGCGCTCATGCCTCTGCTCCAGCTTCAGGTTTCACATCTCACTGCACAGTTTCAATTCAACCCAAACACGGAGCATCCTCCAAGAAAGCACCTAGCAAGCATGAACTCACAGAAACAGGAAGGGCTTCTGAACCATATGCATTAGTCTATTCTCTTTTTCATTTAGCATCACAAAAGGACAGAGCAAGCAGCCCTGTGCACTGAAATGGCTCCAGAGCACTGCTCCAAAGCAGCACAAGAGGGAGGAAGGTGGAACCTTCTCAGTGGAATTCCCAACTCATCAGCCCTAATCACCCCTGAAAAAGGAAGAATATCCTGATCAAGTCTTTACTGTCATCAGATGTTTCCCATCAGCACAACACAACACTTCTGCTCCACCTCTGATGGGCCTGGCTGCACAAGCGAATGCAGGAGGGAGGGCAAAAGCAGCGGTGCCCAGCACAGCCAGATGACGTACATACAGAGCTAATCTGAAGGAAGAATGAGAATGAGCACTGGGAACATGAGCTGGAACTGCAGATGGAGAGCCAGCAACTGAACAAATCAGGGGGGAGTGATGCGGGGAGGGAGGTGGGGGAGAAGAAAAGCTTTGCTGGGTGCAGGCTGGAGGTGCTGCTGGTGGAGTCCTGATCCCACGGCACCCTCAATGGCCACAAGATCAGGTCCCAGAGGCACCTCATACTTTATCCACAGGGACCGATGTGCAAGTGTCCTAGAGCACACCTGACCTGCCCCTTACTCATCACAGCACACGTGGTTAGTCGCATTATACTTATGGAATACAGCCACCCCGGCAAAGGAGATGCCCAAGGCTGCACATTTACAGCTCTCCAGAAGGACTGGCATTAGAGCAAAGAAAAGACTCTGTAAGTGGGTTCAGGCTTCCAGAAACAAATAAAAACCAGTTGTGTGCAAGCCAGAGGACTGTATTTTATTGAGGGCTTTTTCTAAAACTTTCTTTCAACTTCACAGTCGAGGCTCAACTGCCACCAGAATCCAGCTGTGTGAATTTTAAAGCTCATTTACTATGCAAAGTGAACTGCAGTGAATGTGACAAATCAAGGCCACTTATCTCCCAAGTAATACGTTCAAAAACCAGTAATCCAGATGTTCTCCTCAGCTGCTTTACACAAGGACATGTTTAGGCTTGTTGGGAGCATTTCCCACTCCATGCTCAGGCTGGGGGAGGATCGCTGCCCAGCAGCTCCTGGTGATAAGGGGCAAGCTGTGGGATATGTCCCACAACAGCAGGAGACCCATTCAGTCATGGTGACGCCCAAGAGCACCACTTTGTTGGCACATGCAATGTGCAGCTCCTCCTGACACTGCTGTCCTCAGGGAACAGCAAATTCCTACTGCGTGGTGGCTGGAGATGGAGTGTCAAGAGGGCTGGGGCTGAGTTACAGACACTTTTAATGTTTCTGTTGGACCAGAACAAACATGTGCAAACCACTGTTTCCTTTGGAAGTCCCCCAAAACATAATGTGGGGTTGGGGGTTTAAATCAAGTCACACTCTCTTGCTCCACCACTCATCATCACATCACCTCTGTAAGACCAGCCATTGCAGTGATCTCCACTAAAGGGGTGCTGAGTGCTCTTCTCACGGCAGCACCACACACTTACCGTGGGTCAGCGTGTCTGCTGCTGGATGCTAATGCACCCAGTATTGGAAACTAACACCTGGAGATACGTTTCTTCAGCTGCACCCATTGCAAAGAAAGGGCAAACTTGGAGACTGCTGTCAATTTAGAATCCATAGCTCCCAGTGCTGAGGGCCACTGGTGCTGGAGCAGCTTACCTTGCCGGGAATCATACTGTCGCATCTGCACCTCCTCAACACATTCTGCCGGGAACCAGCCAGTCCTGCCCTTCACGGTTCCTTCCCAAAAGCCACCTTCACCAATGCTCAGCACTGTGGGGAGAAAGAAACAGGCCTGTGAGGATGAGCAGGCTCCCGGGAAGGGGAACGCTGGAATGACCATTGTACAGTGTTAACACAGTGGAAACATGAAGAGCACAGCATGGAACCTCTGCCTGGGACCAGGCATGCTCTGGAGGAAGAAAGCACCTCAAGAAGCACCTTTTTAAAGGTGCTTCCTTCACCCATGTCCAGAAGAGAGACAGTGTAGTCAATGGCCTTCATGCAGTCATGTGCTGTGACAACAAACCAATGAGTTGGCAGCATCCTTCTTCGTACGAAGAGTTGTTAATGGGGACCCAGACAGCACGGGCTTTGGTAACACCAGCTCCTGGAAACCTGCCACCGACTGTAACTGCTGAGACCCTCAGAGCAACAGAGAAATCAGCCCCATGGCCAAAACGAGGCCAAGAGAGAAAGAAACTGGCCAAGGCGACAACACCAGTCACTGAGAATGGGGAATCCTGGGAGCCCTGTGTTGAAAAATCCAAGAGCTGTTTTGCTCCAAATGACCCAGCAAACAGGAAAGCACTTCCCTGCCACAGCAAAACTCTCCCAACCCATTAAGCCTTGGGTTTAGATGCTCAAAGCTTAGAAAAACACAGAGGAAGTCTTGAAATGTGCTCTGAAGATTAAGTGAACTCGGAGTCAAGGAGATTTTAATGGGGAATCGCATCGAGTATCCTCATTAAACCAGGGACCATCAGCTTGAGTTCCTCACCTACTGCTGCTAGAGAGGACAGCATCAGGGAGCCAGGAGAAACTGCTGAGGAGCTACAGAGGAACCAGCACTTCCTATTGCACCCACAGAAAGAACCAGAGCCCTCAGCACAGGCCCAGGTTACAAAACAGCCCCAGCTTTGGTGGGAAAACCAGCCTGATGTCAGCTGCCATCTCCAAGCTCCCTGCAACTGGATTCATAGAATCACAGAATAGTTAGGGTTGGAAAGGACCTTAAGATCATCCAGTTCCTACCCCGTTGCCATGGGCAGGGACACCTTGCACTAAACCATATCACCCAAGGCTCCGTCCAACCTGGCCTTGAACACTGCCAGGGATGGAGCATTCCCAATCTCAACTTTCTCAGCCTCAACTTTGCTCCAGTCCCCTGAGCATCCTCGTGGCCTCCTCTGGGCTTGTTCCAACAGATCCATGTCCTTTTTATGTTGAGGACACCAGATCTGCACACAATGCTCCAGGTGAGGTCTCACGAGAGCAGAGCAGAGGGGCAGGATCACCTCCTCCGACCTGCTGGTCATGTTCCTCTTGATGCAGCCCAGGATACGGCTGCTTTCTGGGCTGCAAGTGCACACTGAAGCTGGCTCATGTTCATTTTCTCATTGACCAGCACCCCCAAGTCCTTTTCTGCAGGGCTGCTCTGAATCTCTTCTCTGCCCAGCCTGTAGCTGTGTCTGGGATTGCTCTGATTCCCCACTCTAAGGCCAGCAGCCCTGTAAGAAAGATCTGGCTTGGTTTGGTTTGGGATATGTGAAATGCATCAGATGTGACCATTCCATTTCCTGCAGCAACAGAGAACAAGACTGTCACTGCCAGAGCACAGCAACAGTGCAACAGTGCAAGAGAGGAAAAGGGACGTGAGAACTGTTACAGATCTTTCTGGAAGTTCCCCATTTACAGCTCACACCCAGGGTGCCCGGATATTACCCCCGTTTTATCCAGGGAATGGCTGACGTGCACTTCCCACTTGAATTCAGGCATTTGCAAGGCCAGTGAACTGCAGCATCCTGATCCAAGGAAGTGGAGAGGAGCAGCTACATGTTCTCAGGTTAATGCAGCTCACAACACTTCCCTAACCCTTTGTAACTCAGTGGTTTCTGGAACAGACTCTGAATTCCTGTGTTAGGTGAAGTCTATAAAGATCAAGAGAAAGTGATGCACATCACCCCAAAGTGATAAGCTCTTGATACATCCTTTAGAAAACACTACATTGTGGCTTCCAGAACGGCAATTCATTTGACATCCCGACAGAAACCAGCAGAGTCAGCATTGCAGGTTCCTGCTCTCAGTGATCTCCCATGCATTCCCTCAGCATCAGCTGGATCACAAGCTCTTAAAAACAAGCCCAGCACATCAAGAGATCCCCCTGACTAGCACAGAGACGTGGGTGTTCTTGGGACTTGCTTTGAAACTTTGGGAGCCATTATAAAACCCCACAGAACAGAGGGAATACGCACACTGGATTCTTCAGCTCCTCAGCAAAGCCCTGGGCAACAGGCAACAGGAAAAGGCTGATGCTGGCTCTAGTTTGAGCCTGAATCATCTTATCTTGTGCTTTTTCCCTAGGGCTGTTTCTCCAACCTTGTAACCAGAAATGAAGCTCGCCTGCCATCAGAGATGCTCTGGAGTGAATGTGGCAGGGACAGCATGAGCTGCTCCTCCCACAGGCTGCAGGTTCACACACAAGCCTTGGGAGCTGGCCCAGCACAAGGGCAGTGACCTTGGAGGCTGCTGGATGCTTCCCCCAACCATCCTGCAGGGCCTATAGAAGATGAGGAACCTCCCTCCTGCGGCCCATTACCAAAAAGGCCCTTTGGCAACCGGCTGACAGTTAGAGGCAGCCAGCAAGCACAGGGAAACCTTATGGTCTGGTTGTCCTAAAGCTGCACTGCAGCCTGGCAGGAGCAGAGCTGCTCAGTGCTATTCAGCTCTAGATGCAGGAAACCACCAAGCAGAGGCCATTGGTACGGCACTATCCCCAGAGACCACATTTTGGTCCTCTGGAGGACCAGCTCTTGAGATAAAGTCTTTGATAATCATGGGATTTGTACCTCAAGGCTATGCACATACTCTCTGGCTGTGCATGTGCATGGTGTCAGAGCAGCTGCTGCTCATCGTCACCACAGCACAAGGATTCTGCACAATTCCCAGTATCCCACCACCCCTCACTCTGTACCCATCACCTCAGAACTGGTTGGGCCCTCTGCAGAGCACAGAGGTGCCTGGTTTGAAGGCATGAGCCCCACTCCCTGAAAGGTCCTCTCAGACCACTTCCCCATGTGGACATGTCCACCTACAGCTGAAACACGGTGAGGCATCTGTCCTGAATGCCACCAGGGGCTGTGGAGGCTGCCTCGCCTGATTCCTCTCTCTGGACATCCCTGCTGCCTGTCCCCTGCATCCTTCCCCTGCTACTCCTGGGTTCCCTCTTTCTGCATTGGGCTCCATGCGCATTGGCTGCACTGCTCTGTGCCCCAGCTGGTACTCTCTACACAAACCCCATGCAACCAGCTCTCCCCATCAGTACAGCGCTGCCTTCCAACAGGAAACCTCTCAGGGAAGTGGTTCCTTTCCTCCTTTCCTGTTCTGACCCAACACACCAGCAGCACCAACTGTGCAGGGATCCATGGGCTCTTGGTACATCCCTTGAGGCCAGTGTCTCTGGGCCTGTTCCCCACGGGCCCGGGCAGGGCTGGCAGGGCAAGCTGGGAAGTGCCAGCAGTGGGAATACAACATAAGGCTTAAGTCCCCGTTGGCAGATTTAGGGGACTTTCAGCTCAGGGACAGAGCAGCACACCTTGCCCCAGACATTGAGCGTGGCCCCACTGCCAGGCTACTGGGTGGAATGGTGGTGGTATTCGATATCCCCACTGGCAGAAGGCACTGGCACATCCATACTACCACGTACAGACCTTCCCAACCCAGCTCCCTCGAAGTCCTCCACAGACAGCACTCCTGGATTGATCCCTGTGCCCATCACCACAGTGCCCCTGTGTCATTCCCAGCTATATACAAACATTACTAACAGATGAAGCACTGCTCCGTGCCAGACACAGCCAATTCCCAGGGAACAGGAACTTCACAACCGCCTGCACGGAGGCATTAGTCCTATCGGAAGCAAGGGAAAAGCAAACAAACAAGGCAGCCTGATTTACAAGCCAAACAGGAGACTCATTTCAGTCTCTTCTCTAGATCTTTTTTGAGATGCAAATGCTCCTGCTCTCCAAAGGTTATGATGCAGTCACAGCTTGGAACAGACCCAAATCCCGTACCTTATTTCCCACTGCTCTCATCCAAGCTTTAGAAGCTCTGCTAACACTTCCCAGTAGAAAATTTCTCTTTTCTAGTACTTTGTGTTTCCAGCTTCCAAAGCAGCCCTTCGCGGAGCAGAGCTCATCCAGCTCTCCAGAGCCTCCTGTTCTTGCCTGCGACGCTTTGGTCACACTGGGCTCCTTCTCCAGATTTGCTGCTTTTGAGGGTTGAAGGAGCGAGGTTCCAGCCTGTCTGCCATCAACCTGAACACAACAAACTGAGGCTGTTCTAATGAAAGGAAACATCTGAAGTTGTCCATATTTCACTGTCTTGTCTCTAAGGATGTTACATGCGACAATACAAAACCCTTGCTCAAGATCAGCGACAGCCATGGCTCTCCCCTCATCTGACAAGCAGCCACCTCACTGGAGAAGGCTATCAGCTTAGTTAAGCAGGATTTCCCCTCCACAAATCCAGGCTGGCTGATCCCTATCACCATTCTGCCCTTCGTGCCTTTGGGAAATGCTTCCAGGGTTAGTTGCTCCATCACCTTTCATGGGGTCAAGGTGACACTGACCAGCCTAGAGTTCCCCACACCTCAGCCTTGCTCCTCTTGAAATCAGGAGCAACATTTGCCTTCTTCCAGTCATCAGGAACCTCTCCTGACCACCACAGCCTCTCAGAGATGATGGAGAGCGGCCTGGCAAAGCCATCAGGCAGCTCCTTCAGCATTCAGTGATGCATCTCATCAGGCCCATGGACTCACGTATGTCCAGTCTGAACGTTCCCTAAATTGATCCTCCTCCACTGAGGTGTGTCTACCTATAGAATCATAGAACGGTTTGGGTTGGAAAGGACCTTAAGACCAGCCAGTTCCAACCCCCCGATGGGCATGGACACCTCACACTAGACCACGTCACCCAAGGCTCTGTCCAACCTGGCCTTGAACACTGACAGCGATGGGGCATTCACCGCTTCTTTGGACAACCAGTTCCAGTGCCTCA